ATGCGGCTTTTTGTCCTAAATGCATATTCATTTTTTCATTTTCAGGAAATCTAAACTGCCCATGCACTAGGATGACCTATCGCTTTTCGTTCCTTTGGTCGTTGAGAAACTTTCTTTATCCCCATTTTAACTCCCCCTTTTCCATCTTCAAATCCAAACAAAGCCTAAGGGTTGGTGGGATGGGAGAAGGAGAAGCATCATTAATCATTATTTATGGAGATATAATTTTTTTTTTTTGGGTCAAATTATGGAGATATCATTGTAATCGGCTTGTATGTTGTATGCAAACTCTTATTGCACGTCTTCTGTTGCAACTGTTCTTTTAATGCATTTTGGATTCTAAACAATACTTTTAATTTTTATTTTATTTTTTAAAGTTTAGTTTCATCTTTTATTTTTTTAAAATTAATTTAGTCTTTTATGTTTATAAAATGACTTAAAATGATTATTTTTATTAAGTCTTTGACCATTATAGTTAATAAATTCAAATTAATCACATTGACATTATCTTACATATAACAAAAAGATGAAATTCAACTGTATTGAAAATATAAAAGATCAAACTATACCTATTTAAAAATATAAAAGATTACATTAAACTTAAATATAGTTGACCATATGAACTCAAACCAACAATCGTGGATATCAAGTCACATACAATAAATAATAATTTAGAATGAGAGTCAAACCAATAACAAAGTAAATTATCTATACATTTTTTGTGTGAATAAATTTAGTTAAATATTAATATGAAATCTTTGTTCAACTTTTGTGAATTCTAATTCTAAATATCCGTAACGATGTGCATTTTTTATTTATTAATTTGAGATAGTTGTATTTTGTAATTACTTAAACAAATGAAGCTTCATATTTGTAACGTGAATTTTGCTACATAAAATCTTTAACTTCACGAAAATATTATATGAATGCACTTATGTCTTAGCTCATATTTGATTCAAAATTTATTCAAATTTATTTAGTTGTGTTATAATATATTTTATGTTAATTTTAAGTTATTGATGTTCTTAATGAAGCATCCTCAATGATAGTTGGTTTAAAAAAATCCTATTTTACTTTATTAGATATATTGTCACATCACATTTTTCTTATTTGTTACACCACTTTTTACTTTCATAAAAAAAATAATATTTAGATTAAATTTTTCTTTTAATTTTCATTAGATATATTTTTTCACTAATAGATTAAAAAAAAAGACAAGAGATTATTAAAGACAAGAGATTATGAAAAATCTTGAAAAATGTTTTTTTTGAACAAAAATATTTAAATATGTTATAATTTGTTATAACTAATTCATATATGGATTTTTTTTTTACAATATAAATATATAGATAAATTACTCCTCTTTTATTTTCAAATCAATTAATTTAAAAGGTTTAATGATGATATATTAACACTGTAAAATAGTTCTATATTATAATCCAATCACAATTTATAAATTCATAAATTATAAATTTGTTAACTTTTATAGTAATTATTTTAAATTCATATAAAGTATAATTTTTTTTATTGATTAATTATGTAACCCTTTTATTATATTGCATCACCATGAAATCTTAACGTGTAAATTTTCTATTGCAAAAGTGTTTCAATTCAATTTTACTATTCGAGTTTAAGTCTTAAACATGCATCTAATTAAATATGCAAAATTAAGGTGTTAAAAAAATCAAACTCGACTAAATTGTTTAAAAACCGAATTAAACTAAACCATAAAGATCTGCTTGCTTTTATTAAAAAATTGAACTAAATTGATTTTATTAATAATCAAATCATTATCTTTATTGCAATTTGTATTAATTAAAAAATCTAAACATTTTTACAAAAGTAAAATTTTTCCTTCTTTATTAAATTTTTTCTTCTATGTATTAGTATAAAAAAAACAGTTTTGTTTAAAATATAGTTCGATTCGAATTTAAAAAAAAAAAAAACCCGTTAAACTAAAAAATAGTTAAATTTGATTTGAGCAAAATATTTTCTAATTCAATTAGATTTAGAGAAACATCTTTTTCTATTTAATTCAAGTTGGTTTCAGACCCTAAAAAAAAATTGGTTTCAGTTTTATTTCAGCACCCTTATACGAGGGAGAGTTAGTTTTCCTGTCAATAACCTACCATGATCCTACCCAAATTATCAGTTGATTTTACACCACACAATTCTTAATTACCATCTATATTCTATGTAAGTAAGTGATTATTAGTTTTTCCTTTTTGGGAATAATACTGTTTAGCCGTAAGAAAAAAAAATTAGATGAAACCGTTTACGAAACAACCATTGTGATTGTTGCTGTCAAATTCTAAAATTTACCCTTTCCTTTTTTCAATTTCCAAATAACTAGTAAAAAATAACTACTTGAATTTTTGTTTAATTATAAAACAATATTTCCTTAATTATGAATTCACCCATGTGTAAGTAAATAAATAAAATTATTTAAATTGATAATACTTAAAAGATATTTTTATCAAATATTTATTATATACAACTAAAATTTATCATATATAACAGATGTCTATTTTTTTATTTTTTAAAAATGATAAATAGATATGATTTATTTAAAAAAAAGAATTGAGATAGTGAGTGGATATGTATAAAGTAATAATTTAATCGGTTACATAAGCGTTTAGTGGGTTATTAGTTATTAATTAATACCCGCCAAACAAATCTTATGACTTATGAGACAGCACAGCACAGCACATGACAAAGAAGCCGAAACACTTTATACTTATAGTAGCTCTCTCGGACCTCAACGTGGACACGTGGCACGCTAAGAAAAGTGTTTTTAATCTGATTCCGCTTCTGTTTCTCCCTTGTCTTGTCCCTCTGTCCGCACCACACGCTTCTCTCTCTCTTCCTCTCTTCAATTTCCAGACCTTTCGCAATCCCTCTTTCAACCCTCCTCTTCTTTCTTCAATCTCTCCTTTTCTTTCGCTTTTGATCCTCTCTGCGGAACCCTCGCTCGCACTGTTCCAATACGCCCAGAATTCGAACACGAGATTAGTTGCTTGCTTTCTCTGTTCGACTTCTTTGGACTTTGGACACTTTGCGTTTCCCTCATATTCGCCCAATCCTGCCTTCTGGTCAGCGCTTTCTCCATTTTCTCTCTCTGCTTTTGGTTTAATCTTCTTTCGATGCAGATTTTACCGGAAACCAGATCATGATATTTTCTAAAACTGCATCTTTTGATTTCAATTCACGATTATGTTCATTAGTTTTTACATGCGAATCTTATTGATCCTTGAGCTTTCAGAATAGTTTGCTTGCATTAATTTCCCTCTTGTTTTCTTTTCTTTTCAATGCCTGCATCTGAAATAAAATCGAGTTAGGTCACGGGTGTGGTGTGAGTTTTTTTTTTTTTCTCTCCTTGTTATGGAAAATCTTACACGTGTGTTCGTTGAGATTGCAGAGATTGTTTTTGATGGCGAGATCGTGCACCTCTTGAAATGGGAAGCACGGATAAATAGATTTGTGCCGTGGATTGGCTTTGAACTTGGCGACTCAGTGATAATTTGAATCTGTTTGAAATCTGCTTGCGATTATTTATTGTGGAGGGTGGATAAAAAATGGCTTTTGAAATCGGTTCTGTTGTTACAAAATTGCAAATGTTATCCACCTCAGACCATGCCTCGATTGTCTCCATGAACTTATTTGTGGCACTTCTTTGTGCTTGTATTGTCCTTGGCCATCTTCTTGAGGAGAACCGGTGGATGAATGAGTCTATCACTGCCCTTTTGATTGTAAGTGTTCACTGTCCTTGAGCTTGTTTGCCATAAATAGTTCTACTGAAGGGTTGGTTAAATTGAGTTTTAGTTCTACTGCCGATATTGTTTTTCATTTTAGTTCCTACATGACAATTTTATATTTTGGTCCCTACGTGTAAAAATGTTTACCAAGTGATCATTGTTGTTTCCCAATTTTACAACAATATTTAATTTGGTTAACAATTGGAGGGGAATAATTTGCAAAACAAAAAAAAATCATGTAGGGACCAAAAAGCAGAATTTTTTTTTTCATGCAGTGACTAAACTGGAAAACAGTGTTGAATTGTAAGGATCAAACTTTTAATTTAGCCTAAACAATTCAACTCCTCCAAATATTTTGCCACCCTTTAAGAAGCAATGATATTTGTGTGTATTGATGCTTAGTTTGAGCGATAGTGCATGCAGTGTTTTCTTTTCTTTTGTTTCTATTTGATGATATCATATTTTGGTTTTTCTCAGGGTGTTTGCACTGGCGTAGTCATTTTGCTTTTTAGTGGTGGTAAAAGCTCGCATATTCTTGTTTTCAGTGAAGATCTTTTCTTTATATACCTTCTGCCGCCTATAATATTCAATGCCGGGTAAGTTTCTTTTTTTGGCACCATTTCATTGTCTAGTGAGGAATCAATGCTTGACTCTATCTATCACTATCTAATTAAAGAAGAGGGGAGGTGTTTTGTTATGACTCTTTACAAATTAAGGTTTCTATGCAGACGTCCTTATATGGTAATCTGTGAGTAGTCTGGTAGATTTTCCCTGATACAATAGCATATTTCAGCAGAGCCAGTCGTAACTAAGTGTTGCATAATGGTGATAATTTTAAGAGAATATTTGTTCTGCCTTGGGTGTTTGAAATATACCTGATACTAGCATTTTGTTCATTTGCTTGTACTTCTATAAGTGACTTAGCACTCGCGTCCTAAGTTTGTGGATTTCCCTATTCCATCATATCAACAATATTGAAAATTATATGGCTTGAATAAATTCTACTTTGTTTGTCGTAGAAACCATGGGTGATTTAATCACTTTTGAGTGATAATTTTTTACATGACTTTGTAATTAAAAATATCAATTACGTGTTCCCATGATCTGAACAAGAATTGCAATATTCAATATAAAAAACCTTCAGAATCATATTGTTTTCCTCTCCTAAAATCCTGTTCTGCATTCTGAAAATCCATATTTTAGTCTCATCTTTTGACTTCACGTGTATGATAGATTGCAGCTATTATTTTGTTATAACTTTGTTTTCTGTAATTCATTTCAGGTTCCAGGTGAAAAAGAAACAGTTTTTTGTTAACTTCATGACCATCATGTTGTTTGGTGCTATCGGTACATTAATATCTTGTACCATCATAACTTTGGGTATGTATTATTGCTTAAGATGTATTTGTAAGGTTGTTATTTAAGATTTGACATAGTAAGAAAATAATTTGTAAGCCAATTCATTTCTAACCTAATTTACCAATTGAAAGGTTTTTTTTTTCTTTCTTTTTTTTGGTTTAAAGGACATCTTGATCAAGTAAAAATAGATAATTACTTTAAAGAAACTAACCATAGGAGGAATTTCCCTAGTTCTGCTCACTTAAATTTGAGGCATTATAATTTCAGGTGCCACACAAATTTTTAAGAAGTTGGATGTTGGTCCACTGGAATTGGGGGATTACCTAGGTATTTTACTTGTCAATCTCATCTACCTGGCATCCTTTCATTCGGTTTTTGACTTACTAATTTATGATAATTTCCAGCAATTGGTGCAATATTTGCTGCGACAGATTCTGTTTGCACATTGCAGGTTTGGAACAATATATTTCTTACATTCTTCCTGCAACTAAGGTATCGCCTGCTAGTTACTGAACATATAAATGATGATGCAGGTGCTAAATCAGGATGAGACACCTTTGCTGTACAGTCTTGTATTTGGGGAGGGTGTTGTGAATGATGCTACATCAGTGGTGCTTTTCAATGCAATCCAAAGCTTTGACCTCAACCATATTGACCCATCAATTGCTTTGCAGTTTTTGGGCAATTTCTTATATCTATTTATCACAAGCACAATGCTTGGAGTGTTGGTAAATGTCTTTCTCCCTCTAATTATCTCATGCATGCATCACCCAAGCTCGACAAGATCTACATTAACAATGAGCATGCACATAAATATTGATATAACTTGTCGCTAATGTATCTTCATCACCTTGTAGACAGGTCTACTCAGTGCTTACATTATTAAAAAGCTGTACATTGGCAGGTATTTCAGTGACATTTTTCCATTTCCATTGTCTATTCTGCAGTAACTGTGATGGTATATTCCATGGTTTTATTGTATAATATGCAGTTTATTCACAGTGAACTAAACTTGTTGACAGTTATGACAGTAAATAAAATTTCCGCATCATCCAATCTCAATTTTTTGTATTATTTATAACCAAACATATGTCTAAAGTTTAAGAAGATTATGCTGAACTTGCTTTGATTGTTTGGACTTTGGAGTTTGGAGTACTCATCCATGTTAACTGGTTCATTTGAGATTTTTTTTTTTTTATTATTAGATTTTCATAATAATGGTAACTGGTTCTAAATGTTATGTTGTCCATTATAAATAATGTCATACCACAAATAATAACCTGATGAAGAGATACCAATGAAAATGAAATTGCATGGTACTTGTTAGGCATTGGTTTCTAGGATAAATTATAAAAACATATATTGCATCTCTGAATTCTTCTTGTTGGGTATGAATTGGTGTGATTTTCAGTCTTACTTTTTTTTCTAGGGAAAAAAGTTATGTTAATTCAGTGGAAGATAGTAACTTGGCATCTCTGTCTGTATTTGTGCATCTGTCAGTTTGTGTGTTTCTCGAGTACAAGGCTTTTTAGACCTTGCACAGGATGATTTGAAACAATTATTTACTGAGGTTGAACAAATTTCTCCTTAATTTCAGGCATTCTACAGATCGTGAGGTTGCTCTTATGATGCTAATGGCATACCTCTCCTACATGCTTGCTGAAGTAAGTTTTAAAGAACTTTAGTAGTGTATTCTGGATGCTTTTGACATTTGTCATTAGCATGATGCTGATGTATCTAGATCTTCTGCAGTTATGCTATCTGAGTGGAATTCTCACTGTATTCTTTTGTGGGATTGTTATGTCTCATTATACCTGGCATAATGTGACTGAGAGTTCAAGAATCACTACCAAGTATGTCTTCTAAACAGATTTCCTTGAGTTATGTACACTGTCCTAGTCTATGCATACCTGAACATATTTTTCATCTAACTCTTGCAGGCATTCCTTTGCAACCTTGTCATTTGTTGCGGAGATCTTTATCTTCCTTTATGTTGGTATGGATGCCTTGGACATTGAAAAATGGAAATTCGTCAGTGATAGGTATTCTTTTAGACTAGTGAATAATCATTTAGACATTAACCTTTTTGCACTCATGAAAAATAGCTGAATGGCATTCTTCGTGTCAACAAATGGTATGACGTAGCTGCTTTACTGAAACAGTTCTTGTATTACTTGATGCAACTGGAGAGTTCTTCTATAGTGCTGTTTTCTGTTATTTTTCTTTTTCGAAATTTTGTCATTCACTCTGGAATCTTTCCTCTCAAAACTTCCGTTTGTGATAATAGAAAAACAATTCATTTTCTATACTTCATTCCTTCTGCAGCCCTGGAACATCTGTAGCAACAAGTGCAGTATTGTTGGGTCTAATACTTCTTGGAAGAGCAGCTTTTGTTTTCCCCTTATCCTTCTTATCCAACTTAGCTAAAAAATCATCAAGTGAGAAAATCTCCTTCAGGCAACAAGTATGGCTAAATTCCTGTTAGTGAGTGACCTTTTCCAGATTTTTTGTGCTACTACCAAGTTTTGCTGACAGGTTTCTTATTATTTCTCAATTATAGGTGATCATTTGGTGGGCTGGTCTTATGAGAGGTGCTGTTTCAATGGCACTTGCATATAATCAGGTAGGGGCAACAATGCTGATTACAGGTTTTGGTTTTTTGAAAATTGAACTATTGGTCACTGATTTAGTGGTCACTGAAGATATAACTGTTGCTTTAAAAACTGTGAATCTTAACAAATGCAGTTCACCATGTCGGGGCATACTTCGCTGCGATGCAATGCAATCATGATCACTAGCACAATCACTATTGTGCTTGTCAGTACAGTGGTAAGTTATTTATTTGGTAGTTTCTGACATCCTTTACCAGTATTCATTGTTTCTTCTCATTACAGGCGTTATTTTGTCTTTGTTGCATCCTTTCTTCAAATTTGATGTGGTTGAATATTACTTAAATTCTTTAAAGATGTTACTGACACAACTCAATTGCAATTTCTCAGGTGTTTGGTTTGATGACTAAGCCACTCATAAGGCTTTTACTGCCGCATAGTCCTCATAAAAGCATCATCGCAATTACAGATTCATCTACTCCAAAATCAGTCACTGTCCCACTGATTGCCCAAGATTCTGAAGCCGATCTTGATGGTCATGAAATTAATCGCCCGAGCAGCATTCGTGCTTTGCTTGCCACTCCCACACACACTGTTCATCGATTGTGGCGTAAGTTCGATGATGCATTCATGCGTCCTGTTTTTGGTGGAAGAGGTTTTGTTCCTGTAGAACCCGGCTCACCAACTGAACGTAATGGTCATCAATGGCGTTGAGAAAACATGCCAAGAAATATGTAATTGTAATGTAAACTACGTAAATTTTGTGGAGATCAAGCAATGCCTGTATAAGAATCCCGTACTGAGATTTTGTTTAGCTCTTTGGTAGTGAGAAGTGAGAACTGAGAAGGCTGTGCACAATAAGTCATCTCAGCTCATCTTTGCATCTTCCGTAAACTGTAATATTTCATTTCTAGATTTCTCTGACCCATTATCATTGTATTAAAAGTTTGAATAGCTAAAGCTAAATTAATATTTTTAAAGTTGTATATGTTGGGTTTATCCTATGCCATCCAGCTTCTGATTACCAACAAACTCACGTTTTATAGATGCAAAAATGACAGGACACATCATCAATCATGAATGGCAAAATTTATTCTGAATAAAGAGCTTCCATATGCTCATTTTTTTAGAGTTCAAGTGCCAAGAGAATCTTACATCAATAACGTTAAATATGTTAGAGTAGTATATAAATAAAAAGAATTTATTAATCGAATATTTTAAGATTTTGGATTATAATGTGATATTAAATTTGTGATTTATTTACCGTTTATAAATAAAGTGTTTTACTCTCCAATTCAACAATTTTCGGTCTCTTTTTTTACTGGTAAAATAAGGTTGTGTTTGGATCCTATAATCTCCCAGATAACGAGAGGTGAGTGACAAAATAGTTTCATTTGGTCTCGCCTTCGTCTTGTTCAAAGTAGCAATTGCATTACTTATTCTTTCTTAAACCAAGGTTGTTGACACTTGAGAGTTACAAAAACCAACAGACAAGTATTTTGTTATAGCTTCCCGTTGAAATTTTTTAAATTTTGGTCCTGGGATTATTTGTCATTCGTTATCACCCGAAGAGGACAAAATGTTACAGGCTTACAGCTTGCAACACTGGAGAAAAAAATGATTTGGAATACTCCAAATGACCCACGTCACGAGATTGCCTGTTGGCAACTTTTACAGCTTGATTAGAAATTAGAACGTTTTAGCTGACAAAAAAAGAAAAAAAGTAAAAAACTACACTTGTTTGATTATAATATAATGTTAAACTGTTATTCTATGTTTGGGAAGTGAGAATTAGGGGGAAAATAAAGAGAGGTGTGTAGAAATGAAGGATGATAAAATGTTTGGTAAAGAAAAGTTAGACGGAAAATTGTAATAATTAAAGTGGGAACTATCAAAATAAATTTCTCCTGTATGGGAAAGTGCATGAAAATTGCAAAAAAAAAATAAAATGTCATGGTGATGTGGCGTGAAGTTTTTGAAAGATAAGTTATGTATTTACATTTTTTCAAGTATGCAGCAGTGAGTGTGGATGTAGATTATGTCATTTTTTTTATATTTGTTTTCTCCCATGGTTTTATATATATATATATATA